CGTGTTTAGAACAGAGTACTATCACTAACATTGTGTTTAGAACAGAGTACTATCGTTAACATCGTGTTTAGAACAGAGTACTATCACTAACATTGTGTTTAGAACAGAGTACTATCGCGAACATTTTGTTTGGTAACAGACTACTATCGTTAACATCGTGTTTAGAACAGAGTACTATCACTAACATTGTGTTTAGAACAGAGTACTATCGCGAACATTTTGTTTGGAACAGACTACTATCGTTAACATCGTGTTTAGAACAGAGTACTATCACTAACATTGTGTTTAGAACAGAGTACTATCGCGAACATTTTGTTTGGAACAGACTACTATCGTTAACATCGTGTTTAGAACAGAGTACTATCACTAACATTGTGTTTAGAACAAGGTACTATCGCGAACATTTTGTTTCGAACAGAGTACTGTGCTAACATTTTATATAGAACAGTTAACTTTTTTGTGATAGGTTTTACAAAACGTACAATGAAGCCGACAATGAAGGAAAGCGATACTTTTTTTCATTAGACTTAGTTTATAACCAGGTTAGGACAGCTTCAAACTATGTTAGTGAGGCCAGCCGCCCCAGGCCATTTAAACGCGGTTATAAGAACGGCAGCTTGTGCTCTTGCTTCTGTTTACAAGTTGAGTCGCCATCTAACAGGACACGAAAATTTCCACCTGATTTTCCTAATACAAAGGTGTAGGAGTGATGAAAGCTGTGTAAGAGTGACTATATCTAATCCCTGGACCTTACGTGCAAAATAAATCCCAGAGATTCTCCTCGCGAAAATATTGAAGCTGTCAAGTGTAAAGAGAAAGAAGAAAGAAAATAAGTTCGATTATTGTAACACAAGCCAGATTGGTAACAGTTATTGTAACACAAGCCAGATTGGTAAGGTAAGTTTGACAAAATGGCATAAACATATTCTCGATCAGATAGTTAAGCATGACTTCTCTATTAAATATTAGCTAATCACTTTTTTTCATGGCGTTGCTTTACGTTTATATAATGAGCATTATTGGTGAAGATGACGAGTATTTAATGCCTTATTCAGTTGCCTCTTTACATAGATATTATCAGTATATAGTCAGACAAATGGTAAAATACTGTGAAACTATGTTATATAATTGCTTTTTATCAATTACTAATTAGGTGTTTTGCGTTTTCGTGTGTCAATCCACACCTGATTTCCGACCAGTGGATGTTAATACAAAAGATAGCTTTACTGACTTAATGAATGTACAATAGGTTACTTATGCGAATCACCACTACGTTATCGTACATCTAGCTTAATGCCACATTTAATTAGGATGAGATTTTTTAGTGAAAAAACAATCTTTAACTTGTGTGGATCTCTTAAAATTTATTTCTATGAAACGTCGGCATTCCTAATTTTTGGGGATAAAAATTTGTTTCCACTAAAACATTATTTCTTTTTAGAGTTATTCAACTAAGGCGTGCTTCTGTCAAAGCAATTATTCTTTGGTGGTTTGGTTATGATTTTTCACCAAAAACATGAAAATTATTTCGTTAGAAGAGTTTCCTTTTTAGAAATTTCATCCTTTTTATAAGTTTGTTTCAGGACTTTTATCAAACATGAAAGTATATTTTGAGTGACTTTCCTGTGATTTCCACTAGGAATGTGAGGGCGCGTTTATATCAGAAAAAGTGATTATTGTTGAATGGTTTGCAGAAATACCATTCTTTTAGGATGATTTTGATTGAAATGTTCTGTCATTAGTATAATTTTTCTTCTTAACAGATTTGCCAGGATTTGTTTCTTTTACAAATGTCACCCCTTTTGAAGGAATTTGTTAGATGTGTTTCTTCCACCATTTTTAAAACATGGTTGCACTTTTTGAACGGTTTGGTTTGGACTTGTTTGTTAAAGAAATGTCATTCTTTTTATTGGCTTAATTAGAACGAGTTTCCATCCAAACACCATCCTTTTTGAATAGATTGGTTAAATCTGTTTTGATCAGAAACTTCCTGATTTTTAGAGGTTTCAGTTTAACAGGCAGAAGTCGCTTATAGACGTTATATTTAATAATCACTAATAACTTCTGTGTATATATATATATATATATATATTTCTCTCCCTCACTTACTTCATCATCATGTATATTTGAATTCGAAATACGCTTATTTTATTTCTATTGATAACCAAGGATCATTAGTATATGTGATTTATAGTCTGAAATGGTTCGAACTGTGTGTATCGTAAACTATTAGATGGTTCAGTTATGATAACTATTACGTTCGTACTGGCCATCCTCATTAAGGTAAATTAACCGGGATAAGCGTATCAGCGTTTTTAGATTATTTCAGGGAATCCTAAAGACAGACAGTTTTTTTCGTTTTGATTACTTATTACGATACAAAAAGAAGGCTGTAACCAATCTTAGATAACTCGGCTGACCTTAGGATCTATAAGATTCAATCTAACCTTTTAATATAAGTGCGTGCGACTCTATTTGGGAAGTAATGTTGCATTATTTTGAATTTATCTCTTTGTCGAAGATGAACTCGTTATTTTATAACATATCTATCATTTTTTCCATGTGTATAAAGCCAATTTTGTTCAAGGCGGCGACTAAAGTATTAAGTTTATGGTAATATCAATACTTAGCTTTGACTCACAAAACTTAAAGTCCATTGTCAAAGTATGTAAATTCTAGCCTACTACCATCGAGAATTCATTCGTTTCTAGGTCAATTTACAAACTACCAGTTCTGGTAGAGGACGACACTGTGGTATCAGTAAAACGGGTTTTTCTTACTTACCGCCTGATTTGTTCCAAGACGCGCTAGCACTAACAGTTCTTCTTTTTTTTATTATTATATTTTGATAAATAAAGCATGCTTGTGAACGGTCGACAAACTACTTTATGGAGGAATGAACAGGTCTATTTGTGTAAATGGTGCGTTTAGAGTACTGTCCTAATATACCTGGCAATCATTCGAATCATTGACCAGTAAGACGTTCTGCGTCTATGTGGAATTTAAAAAACAAATAAAGTTTATGTGTTATGCAGATGAAGTTCCTCTCAATGAGAGGTGTTATTAGAACACATAATTATGATGAATAATTTAATTTGAGTTTACTCACTGGTGATCAGTATTTTTAAAAGTAACAGCTTTTATAGTAAGGAAGATTTTTTGTTGTTTGTACAGCTACGATGTTTCGATCGCTCGTGCGGTCGTTCTCAAGTATACACGTTTTAGCAGTAAATATACGTACTTGAAAATGATCGCACTGGCGATCGAAACGTAGTACCTGTTTAAATACAAATTATTATTTTTACTGCCAAACCTGTAACTTGTAAAATAAATAATTGTAATATTTTGCATTAGCCGTTGAATATTAACAAATAGTTAATCTGGTCTGGTTAATAATCCGTTTTGAAAAATGCCTAGTACCAAGAAACGGTGTTAAAAGTACAACAGAAACGGTGTTAAAAGTACCAAGAAAGGGTGTTAAAAGTACAACAGAAACGGTGTTAAAAGTACCAAGAAAGGGTGTTAAAAGTACAACAGAAACGGTGTTAAAAGTACCAAGAAAGGGTGTTAAAAGTACAACAGAAACGGTGTTAAAAGTACCAAGAAACGGTGTTAAAAGTACAACAGAAAATCAAACTAGGTTGATATTAGAAATCGAACTACCATTTTGAACAGTTTTTACTTGTTGACTTATTTGTTTGGTATCAAAATAAGAATA